TATATTTAGTTGACTGAGAGTTTAATTTTTATTAATAATTTGAAAAAAATCTTTCATTTTTTAAAAATTCTTTCATGTTAAAAAGAAAAAAGAAATTAATAATATGATTTATATTATATTATTAATTAGATAAGTATGGAAAGAATCGTGGGATCGGGTTTGATGGTTCGTTTTTAATTTTTAATATTTATATTTAGTTGACTGAGAGTTTAATTTTTATTAATAATTTGAAAAAAATCTTTCATTTTTTAAAAATTCTTTCATGTTAAAAAGAAAAAAGAAAATTAGATAAGTATGGAAAATAAAAGATAAAATTTTATATTAAGTTTTTAAATTTATTTTAGATTTTTTATTAGATTTTTAAATTTTTATTGAAACAATTAAATACTTAAATTTTCAGAGTTACGGAAATTTAACTCATTTAGCATTCATTTGTACTTTATTTGTATAAATAGGATTAATACCTATCACATAAATAGTGATATAATAATATTTTTTTATGTTGGTTATACAACAAAAGGTAACTTTATCACATCTTTTATTCCACCCCACCCGTATTCTATACAACTCAAATTTATGATGTAACACCTCATACACCTTAGTGAATAGATTAGAAATTTGAGTCTTTTATTTTAATATTTTAGGGATTAAATTGATTAAATTTAAAGTATGTGAACCTTATGTGAAATTTTGAGATAATTGGAGGCTATTTAACTCTATTAGCCAAAAATTCAAGACATGTGGTACTTTGTGAACCAAGTCACCGGGGTTTTCTCTATAAGACTTTAGAAAGCCAAATCCCTTTTTCTTTTAAACTTATCCTCCCGAAACCCATTTTTCTCTGCATCTTTCTTTTTCCAATCGGTCCCCTACCTTTTTCTCCGTTTTTTTTTCAACTAAGATTAACGTGTAGGACGTACTCTCAAGTTGAAATCCCTTCAATTTCTGCGGTTCTCTTCGACTTAGTACTTTGATTTTCAAGTAAGTATAAGTTTTGGTTATAAATTTGGGATAGAGTTTCTTTGGGTAGATTATAGATTTATTACAATAAACTAAAAATTAATTTAAATTAGTGGAATTTGACTCCAAAACTTTAGTTTAGTAGGTCTTTGGGCATTAAAATTTTGTTAGGAATATATGCCAAATTTTGGGGCTTGTACGGGAAAGACAATGAGTTATTCTTTTTTTTTTATGCTTGATTTGGTGTGAATTTTATGGATTAAATAATCTGCTTTTGTTGCCTTGTGATTCTTGCCAATTCTATGTGATGATCTCTTTGGGTTTTAGCATGGTTAAAATAAGAATTTATATAGTTAATTGGACCTTGCTAAATCGTGCATGAACTTGAAAGTAAATTGATAATTCTTTAATTACTATTCACGCACTGATACTGTTCATGCGTTACTGTTCACACACTATACTTTAATTTTCTTCCATAGAAAGTTTTTTGAAATATGTGAGCTTTGTATGTAGATATTAGTGTGAATTTGAATTGTCAGTACCACTGATTAATGGAAACATTAAATAGGATAAAATTTTAATATTATTTTAGACATATTCTGAATTTATTTGACATTTGTATGTATTTGTAACTATGAAGTAAGTGGATCTAAGCTTAAAGTTTGGGGTATTCAGTGGACCCTCTGAGGTATTCAGTAGACCCTCCGAGGTATTCAGTGGACCCTCCGAGGTATTCAGTAGACCCTCCAGGGTATTCAGTGGACCCTCCGGGGTATTCAGTAGACCATCCGGGGTATTTAGTGGACCCTCTGAGATATTCAATAGATCCTTCGGGGTATTTAGTAGACCTTTACGTAATAGGATTAGCACTGTGATTAACTCTAGTACAGTGTTGCTAGCACACATCAGTGAACTCCATAGCATTGTGTGATTTTCGGTTTTGTGCATTATACTTGTGACATCACATTTATGATCACATGGTTTTACAATATGAATTTGATATAAATGTCATTAGTTGTTCCTGGACATGTTTAATTATTTGTAAGTTAATTTGTGATATTAAATTGTTATTTAAACACTGAGATTTGTAAAATTATGTGATTCGGTTTAATTATCTTTTGTGCTCTTTGTGTATATAGGTCTAAGGGTCTTAAGATCCAAGTTTATAGTTTAAACTTAATACTTACTAGGCTTTTAACACATTAAATCCCCCCATTTCAAATTAGTAGACTGGAGTAGTGGTCACTCAGCTTGAGAGCTCTTAGTATAAATCTCGTATGTCGACCTCAGTGTTTTCGATGTGAAGGCGGATTAATGTATTACCAAAATGATAATTTTGTTTTTATTATTTCATAAAGTACTTTGAAAAAGCAATTGCTTTCATGTATTTTTTTTGTATAAGTTATTTTTATGTATATGGCATTAAGATTAATTTAAATGGGCATAGCTTGGCTTATTTTATAACTTTAAGTATTTCGATATTTTTCTTAAGATAATTTTCACTTAAATAGTTTTCCCTTGTGGATGAATGATATTCTTTCTATAAAACTTTAAATTGTTTTGAAAGCGGATTTTCCTTAAAAAAAAATATTTTATATTAAAAAAATCTTTACTTTCGCTACAATCTTTTTTTATAGATAATTCGTATTGTTTTTTTTTTTTTTTATCTTGTACAGTATATTTCCCTTCTTGATAAACCAAAAGGTTTATCAAAAAGGGGATATGACATATAATCTCTTACTTTCAACAAAGGAAGATTATCATTAAACTACTTAAGTCGTTAACAACATAGTATTACTTTATTTATACAAAAGATGCAAGAATAGGCATCAAGTTTCGTTTTAAAGAAAAAGAATTAAATTGCTCATATTTATAAATTTAAGAGTTTATTTCCTTTTAGTAAAAGTTTAAAAACTTAATTAAAAATTTAAAATAAGTTCAAAGGCTTAATATAGTATTTTGTCTAAAAAAAAGTTAGATAAGTAAAGACTATGAAAACAATATATTCATAAATATGAAATCAAGTAACAAATATAAAAATTCAAAACTATTTACTTAAGCCATGTTTAGTATAGCGGATTTAGGGTAACGGTTAGCTGTTTTTCTTAAACTACTAAGTATTGATGTTTGTTAAATTTATATACTTCGAAACCACTACAAATAAAGTGTTTGATAAAATTTTTATTTAGCGGTTTGAGACTAACGGATAGCGGTTTGAGACTAACGGATAGCGATTAAGATCCAAACCACTAACGAATTTAAAAAGCTAGTTTATGTAGATTTTGTACCAAACCGCTAGCGAATTAAAATTTTTTAATTTTATTGACAAATTCATCTATTTTAATTTTTTAATTTGTGGTCACATTTTTAATTAATAATTATCTAATAAATTTCAATTTTATTTTTTTACCTTTAATAACATTAAGTGATTATAATTTTTTTGTATATTAATTTATAATTAAAATATATATTATCTTAAAAAACAAATTTGTTAATTAGACAAAATGATTAATTTTTTATTTAAAAATAATATAATTTTTTTAAATAAAAATGAGGGTGTAATTATATTATTATAATTAATTTTATTTATTTATTATTATTATTTTTATAAAATTAATAATTTTAATAATAAAATATAAAAATTTTAAAAAATACACTTATTTGTTTTTAAATATGTCCTTATTAGTCATTTAATGCTAAACAATAACCGCTAACTATTGTATAACCAAACAGTTATATTTATCGAATCCGTTATTTACCATCTGCTACTCACTTTCTGTTATCTGTCATTCGCTATCCGGTATCCACCACTCACTACTCGCTACCACTATTCACTATCCACTACTTGATATCCGCTATCCGCTGAATTTTAACCACTGTACCAAACAGGCCCTTAATATGTTTAATTGAGTTATTTAATTGACCTACTACCTATAATTATACAAATATTGAAATTTTATGTACATTTATTATACATTGTATCTACATGATAATAATAACTTTTAAAATTAAAAATCATAAAAATACAAAAATAATCCCTAAGCCAAAAAAAAAATCACATATGTAGCCATAGTAATTCGGATAAATAACAAATTTTAAGTCAAACACATAATACATGATACAAAGTTTATTTTTTTCTTATGTCAAGTACACAAGTATATACCCACAAATTTCGTAATACTTATCAAGTTAAATACTAAGTATAGATTTTTGAGTATATGGATAAGTATTAGTCTAAAAAGTTATATCTAAAAATTTTTAAATTAAATTTCAAATATAATTTATAACTAACCTGAAAATGCTCACATATAATAAAGTAATAATAAAATAATGCATAAACGGCCCAAAATAAAATTATAAGGCCTCCAGATACCCTGGGCCTGGACGGGCTCTTAATCTATTTTTGGGCCTGTCCCAAATAAAACTGGTTTGCACCCTGCGTCCATCGTTTCCTGCCCAAGTCAAGCCTCCATTACTATTTAGAGCTTCGGAGTGACAAATGAAAATTGAGACAGAATAATGAAATTTAACACAAAAATATATAACAAGAGTTAGGATACATCTATATATAAATTTTATATATTATATTTA